AAATCATTCTATTCATTAAGAGAATGCAACTATATATCTATCCTAACCACTTGGAATACACAGATACAAAATAGACATTCATCGGTATACCCCATTTTTTCTAAGCTCCATTATTGAATATTATAGGTGTGTAATGTGTTTACAATTTTAGATCATCAATATTCTCTTTTTTGCATCTGAATCTATACTTGTGTTGGCACATGCGTATAGCACGGGGAGTTGGCACGCATGACGTCACACACCATGTCTTCATTCTGTCTTCTCTTCCCTCCCCCTCCTCCCCATCTCCTGGTGCCCAGTGGCATCTGCATTTTGAGCCAAGTTAGAAACACTGTTCCTACACCCCAACTACAAGAAAATGTTTTTTCTTCTGATACTTGTACAGTGTCTTTTTCAAAGTTTAGATCTTGAATCCATTTAGTTTATTCTTGTGTATGCTGAGAGGTATAGTTCTAGTTTCATCTTTTCCCGAGTATCCTGTTGCCGTACCATCACTGATTAAAAAGTCCATCTTTGCCTAGTGACTGGAGATGTGCTCTTCGTCATAGGCTAATACATCCCCGTATGTACTGTATGCCTCCCACATCGGCTTGTGTACTGCTTTAATCAGAGGGTTTTGGGATTGAACTCAGGCCCTTGCGCTAGCCAGGGAAGTGCTTATTCCACTGAGCCATCTCCCCGGCCCTAATCAGAGGTTTTCTAGTATGCTTTAAGTACCTGGTACAGCTAGTTTAGTTCACTCTTGCAACTTTTCAGCGTTTTCTTAGTTTTTCATATAAACTCTAGAATGAACTCATCTGATCATGTTAAAATGTTTTTTATTTGGATTGCATTAAATTTGCTAATGACTTACGCTGAATTTGTTAACACCTTGGGTTGTATTACATTTGTTAACATACCTAAGATTCATTTTTAGGCTGAACTGAGACCCATAGCGTATGCTGAGGCTCTGAGCCATCCTCAGTCTCAGGATGTAACCTTGTTTCAGCACAGGTTTACTGCAGACATCATTAGTTAAGATGGGGTCGTACTGGGGTAGGATGGGCCCTTAATCCAATGACTCTCCCATGTTGTTCAGTTTTGTACTACCAGGGGTGGCCCCCAAGGGCCTTGCCATGAAGGCAAGCGCTCTCCCACGGAGCTGCGCCCCCACTTGGGATGGTTGTTAGAATGAATTGTGTCTGGAGAATGAAAGAGAAAGAGAGCCTGAGTTTCCAGCTTGTTGGCCTGCCTTAAACCATGTGAGCTAATTTCTCTGTGTGTGTGCGCACACGCGCGTGCGTGCGTGTGTCTGTGTGTGTAGTCTCTGGAGAACCCTGATACAGTGATGTTGTATGTTCCCATCCAAAAACAGTGTGGTCCTTTCACCTGTCAACTCTAGCTGTGTGTCTGTGAAGGTTTCAGGGTAGGAAGTCTCTATTTCCGTGATTCTTAAGGGGCAGACAGGCCAGGTCCAAAACCTTTGGCTTGCACCTTCCCTCTTTGGGTTTCTTGAAAATGCAGTTCCACTCTTGCAATCATACCCTTGAGAAGTCTGAAGCCAGCCACATTTTCTTATTCCTAAAAGCAATTGGACCTTGACTTACTTACTTACTTTCTTTCTTTCTTTCTTTCTTTTTTGAGACAGGGTTTCACTGTGCATTTCAGGCTGGCCTTGAGTCCACTTTGTAGCCCAGGCTGGCTTCAAATTCACAGTGATCTTCCTTCCTCAGCCTCCTGAGTGCTGGGATAACAGGCACCACCACGCCCAGCTTTGCCGTGTGTGTGTGTGTGTGTGTGTGTGTGTGTGTGTGTGTGTTACTATGGATGAAACCTGGAGCCTTCACACTGAGGCATCCCCAGTCTTTTTTATGTTTTAAGACAGGGTCTTGCTAAGTATACATTGTCCAGGCTGGGTTGGAACCTGCGATCCCCCTGCCAGAGCTTCCTGGAGTGCTGGGATTCCAGGCATGCACCACCACGTCCAGCTTCTCCTGGAGCTTTGTCTTTAAAGTCAAACTTCTGTTAAGATGTATCTCACAGTGCCTGCTTAGGCAAGCGCAGGGACTGGGATTTGATCCCTGGCACCACATGCTGTGCAGGCCGTGCCCCCAGGCGTGCTGAGCTGGCCACCAAGACTGGGCATGGTGTCACACGCTGTAATCCCAGCACTGGCGAGGCTGAAAACAGGATCACTAGCAGTCCGAGCTGTGTAGTGAGACTCTGTACCAAATACATAAAAAAAGAAAAAACATGTATCTTACCGTTGAGTGACTCAGGTGAGTTTCCTTCGTATACGATGGGCCCTCTCGATATGAAGGTTCAAGTTTTCTCTTATTTGTGGAAAGCTTAATTACAGTAAAAAAAAATTGCCTCTCTTCCATTGTTTCTTATGGATCCAGTTACACGTTATGTTGGAGTTTTGTGTATAGCTTCCATCTTACATCCCACCCCCCTTTTGAGACAGAGTCTCACTATATAAGCTGGCCTTGAACTCACCTTGTAGCCCAGGCTGGCCTTCAACTTGTAGTGATCCTCCTGCCTCAGCCTCCTGAGTTCTGGGATTACAGGACTGTGCCACCATGCCTGGCCTAATAATGGAACTAATTTCTGTCACTAGAGGACTTTAATTTTTTAGCTAGCTCTTACAGCTAGTAAGATGGGTGATTGCAAACTTTAGAATTTAAGTCTTCTTTGCACTGTTGATTCTCACAAATCTGGGCTATTAACATGTCCACTGTATAGATTAAAAACTTAGGCATCGTAGTACACATCTGTAATCCCAGCTACTTGGAGGTCGAGGCAGAAGGACCACAAGTTCAAGACCAGCCTAGGTGACTTAGCAAGAGCTTGTATCCAATAAAAATGTACAAAAATGACTGCAGGTGTGAGTCAGTGGTACAGAGCCTGCCTAGCATGAGCAAGGCCCAGCTTTCTTTCTTTTTCTTTTTTTTTTTGTGTGTGTTACTGGGGATTGAATTTAGGACCCTCTGCTTGCCGGGCAAGCACTTATTCTATTGAGCTATCTCCCCAGGCCCTCAAGGGCCAGCTTTCGAAAAAACTAAACCAAACTAAAAACTCCTGAGTCAGGGACTAAGGGACTTGCCCAAGATTCTTCAGCTGGTAAATGGAGAAGTGGCGAACTAAATTCACATGCATGCCTATCAGTCACTACGCTTAGTAATGGCCTTCCCCAATAACTTATTTTCCCAAGAAACTGCTGCATGTACAGTCCTTCACAAGGGTGTGAGAGATGTGTCCAAATTCAGGCTTAGAAGCCTTGATGTCACTACAGCTGTTTAAGCAACATTAAATAATAAGTATAGTGCTGGGCGGAGTGGAGCACACGTGTAATCCCAGCACACTGCAGCCCTGAATGTGAGCCCATCCTGGACTGTACAGTTCTACCTTGAAAGAGAAAAAAAGACATATGTTTGCCAGGCACTGGAAGTCCCACGTCCACGGGGATGCTGAGAAAGGTGGGTGGCTTGTGTCAAGGCATTTTGGGCCATCCTGGGCAAGAGTAAGGCCCTGTCTCCAAAAAACCAAAGGCTTGTCTTCCATATGATTTGGTATCAATGAAAATGGCTTATCTATCATTCTTTCAAAAGAAACAGCCTAAGAAAATAAAAATCAGTTCCATATTCCTATATAATTAGCCAGAAACAGTGCGTACTGCACAAAATCTCTGATACTTCGTGAACCGGGAAGAGCCTGCCAATTGGGTGGGAGGTGACAGGCTTTCTCTTCAGTGCCCCGCCCAACAGTCCGCCTTTCCTGTTCACACAAATCCTGACACGGTGATTTATGTTCCTGAACAAATTAGACCTAAGAGCGAATCATCAGCAACAGGTATAATAATCTTAGTAGCACATTTGCTTTAATTGCTTCCTGCCTACCAGAAGGATTCTGATGCCGCTTGCCCTACACTGCTGTGATTTTTTTCCTCTTCCCCTAGAACTCAGTCTCGTCAGTTTTACATTGCAAAGGCACTGGTCCAGCTTCTAGCCAGCCACAGCAACCTAACTTCTTAGCGGTGGACGCAGGCCCTGCTGCAGCGTGGGAACTGCGTTGGGTTATGCAGCTGAAAAAGCCTCATCTCCACGCATGTGTCAGGGCGTTTGGGTGGGGGATCCCTGGGTGACTGAGAACAAGGGCGGCTTTCTTCCCTGTGACGCTGAATATCACTCCTCCTTGCACTGGCATGTCGAAAGATGCATTTCTTCCAGGACGTGGAGCTCTTAACGTGTGCCTAGAAGCCCCCGTCCAGTGAGGAGTAGACCCCTTCTCCACTGTACCCACCATGGAGGCGCTCAGAAATGACCTCATGATGTTTCCAAAGCAGCAGCAGAAAGGGCCAACACTAAACCCCAGGGAGGTTCCTAGGGGAAGGGCTGCAATGCTCCTGAAAGGACTCAGCTACAAAGACATGAAGTTGAAATTCTAACACGTCTTTTAGGAAATAAAATGGTGCTGGTAAACCTTTACCTGAAAAAGTCCTTCATATTCTAACCAATTTTTTTATTTATTAGTTTTTTAAAATCACTTTCCTTAAAAAATTAAAAAATAACTCATTTTCCCAGTTTTTATTAAAAATTTAAGCCTAAATTCAATAACAAGAATTGCTAATTAAAATGCATTGGTACCAAACCTCAGGAGACCATGAAAATAAACAAATGTAGGAGGTGCAAGGGCCGGTCAGATAGCTCAGCAGACTAAAGCATCTGCTTAGACAGGTGCAGGGACTCGGGTTCAATCCCCACCATGCTGTGGGCCCTGGCCCCCTCCTGGGGTGTGCTGAGACAGCAATTGAGACTGGGCGTGGTGGCACGTGCCTGTAATCCCAGCGCTTGGGAGGCTGAAAACAGGAGGATCACTAGGAGTCTGATCTACGTAGTGAGACCCTGTACTAATTAAAAAAAGAAAGGAAGTGTGAACCATTTTGCTTAACAAAATAGCCATGATGAAATAAAGCCTGTTTACTTAGGTTTTTACAATATGGATTTAGTATTGAAATGACACAGATTTGTAACCATTAACTTTATTTATCACTCTTTATAGACATTGGTCCACTTTCACATGAAAAGTACAAATCATCTATGTTCACCTAATCTACAGAATAAAGTTGTACCACAGACCACAGTAACTTCATAGGGTTTTTGGAAGTTACTGAAATAAAAATATTTTAGATTCATGCCTTTAGCTGTTCCCTCAGAGGTCTGTTTTTTTCTAATTACAAGCATCTACATGCCACACAGCCAATCTCTTAAGTCACTGTAGCGATAATATCCCTCCTAGACACACAGGTCAACAAACTTGCAGCGCAAGTTAAAAACAGCCATACTGTCAATCAGACACAGTTCCGAACTAATTTGACTGTATGAATATATCTAGTATCTTAGGGCTACTCTAAGAAAATGTCCCTCACTCAGAGATATTTACATAGAATGCATTTACAAATGGTTCATAGTATGTAATGGCCCAAGTAGGACTTCTTCTGTCCTGTACAAGCACATTAAGCATTCATAAGTTTCTCTAATAAATTCAGTGCATTTTCCAACATAAATAAAATAAGCTATCCTAAGTGTTTTACATTTCTTTCAGTGCATGTTTCCAAATTTACTAAATGGAATGAAATTGTGTTATTAAATGGCTGTATTATAATACTCAAGCATATCATGGAGTCTATGTCACATATTTTGATTTCTATCAATACTATATTCTGAAAAGAAGCACAGGCACACACAAAACAGAGAACAAAATTTACTGGTTTTTTTTTAAATAAATTTAAAGTGTACTATCTATTTTAAACTACACTAAAAGGTATATTGTAATAAAACAGCCCAAGCCCCTTGTTTAAGTCTGCATGAGGACAGTTCAGTCCATTCGGATCTTCTGGTTTGTCATCCTGTAAATGATGCTGTCGTAGCCGGGATCCATATTCCAAATGTTGTAAGAGGTGATAATCACAGCCAAGGCCAGTGCAATCATTATCCAAAGCACCATGTTGAAAATCACTGAGTACTCCAAGTTATACTTGTATGCAAGGTTATAGGGACTTGCGGTGTTCTGTAACACATAAAAGAAGGAAAAAATAAGTCAAGAGCGAAAAATTTTAAAATAAATGATCCTTGGTTAGTGGCTAGGATTCATGGTCCTAGCATTTACTCCGGTGACACAGGAAGTACTCGTGCAGGGAGGCCCCACGAAGGCGAGGCCCTGTGGTGAAGGCACGGGCACTGTTGAAAGGCATGTCAGTCAGGAGCCTGCTTGAGGCAACTGGGCAATAAACAAGCTGAGGGCAGCAAGCCTGTGAGCCAGTAAGGCCACAGCCTTGGGGAAACATGTACCATGGGCCAGCAGATGTGGCTGAGAATGTCAGCGGAAAGGGCAGTGGGCACACGCGCCCCGTGGCACACGCGGCACTGACGACTCCACAGCAGCTATGTCCATCGGCCTGAGCACTCTTAGAACAACACAGAACAAAGGAGCGGAAATGCATACGGTGATGCCATCCGTACAGATTCAAACGCAGACAAAACTGAACCCATGGTTTAAGGAGTGCCATAGGAAGTCTGACCAGAAAGGTAGTGGGTGGTGACACGATGCCTGGGGTCGTGGGCTGGGGCTGGGGCTTGGTGGCAGCCTTGGATTCTATCTCATGGGGTCAAGATCGCTGTTCTCTCTGGGTGGGGAAGGGCAGAGGGACAAGACAGGGGACAGCTTGAGGAACAAAGAAAACTATATAGTGTTAATACTGTCCTCATTCCTTACATAATTAAAAGTCACATAGTTGTGTGTATAATCTTAATTTCCTTCTTTTTCTTTTCTGCAAAGTTTTATTCCAAAGGGGCTCAGTCCTTCTTGGCAGCTGCCTTCCTCATGGCGGCCAGCACGTTGCTCAGCTCCTCATGCTTCCTCTTGGCACGGTTGTATGTCCCTGCCCTTTTCTTGATGAACTTGAGGGCGCGCTTGTCCTTGGAGACCTTGAGCAGATCCATGGCGCGCCGCTCGCCGGCTCGCTCGCCGCTCTAGGGGGCGAAGGCGCACACCTCCCGGATCATGTCCTGCACAAACTTGGTATGTTTGGTGAGACATCTGCAGCGGTGGCTGTGCCTCGGTTTGCTCACATTCTTAGTCACCTTGTGGTCCTTGTTGAGGCCCAGGGCTGTGGGATAGGGGAGGGCCACAGCTACTGTTCTTCGATGGTTGCTGTGCCTTAATTTCTTTAAAGAGCAAAACAAGTGATGCACATCTTTGGTTCAAGTGGCATCTCCAAGCCTTGGGGTGGGGTTGACTTACCAACTTATCCCTGCACAGAGGCAACGCTTGGGAGACTTCATTCGTTCTGGCTGGAGAGTTCAACAAGTAGGGCAGGGCTGGGGGTGCTGCTCAGAGGCAGAGCACTCACTCAGGGAAGGAGCGCTCGAGACCCTGGCCCCGTCGCCAGCACTGCACACAGGACAACAGCAGGATGCAGCTGCAAGCAGGAAGGCAATGGAGCACCTAGACCTGAGCCACTGGGGGCCAGGCGTGGCGGGGCACACCTGTAAGCTAGCACTCAGGAGGCTCACATAGGAGGATCATGGCAAATTCCAGGCTAGTTGGGGCTACAAAGTGAGTGTAAGGCCAGCTCAAACTGGAAAAAGTGAGACCCTGTCTCAGAAAACCAAAAAAAGAAGCCACTATGAAGTTTCAAGCAGGAACTCAGTGACATGATCAGGTTTGTCTCTAAAAAAGTAATTCTGATGATGATGTAGTGAGACCAGGAGATAGAAACATGGGGAGAAAATGCCTGCAAGCAGGTGCAGGGGCCAGTGGCTTGCTCCCGGGGCCTGCCATGCCGGCCCCACCCCCGGGGTGCACTGGGATGGCGATTGAGACTAGGGGTGGTGGTGCGTGCCTGTAATCCCAGCACTTGGGAGGCTGTAAACAGGAGAATCACTATGAACCCGATCTAGTAGTGAGACCCTGAACACCCTGCACACCCTTCCCTAAAATACAAAAAGAAGAAAGAAAGAAAGAAAGAAAATTAGAATAAAAAGGCCTGAGTAAATGGAGTGAACTAGGCCCAGGACTTAGAGGAGCTAAAGATAAGCCTCAGGAAATTAGAGCACCGTGGACAAAGGACAAGTCCCTGATAGCACAAGAAAGAGTCACAAATGGCTGGAATGCAAAGATCAAAGAAATGACACAGACTGCCTGGCCAGACACCAGAAGTCTGACCTCAACAGTGGAGGCCGCTTAAGGGCACATTCCCCCACACCTGTCTCCCTCGTAAAAGGCCTGCAGCAGCAACTCGATCCTCTTAGAGTTGCAGTGATAACAATCGGCTGCCTCAGCACCACTGCCTAGGCTTTACCTCGAGAGTCCTCCTCAATCCCCTCCTCACAAGAAAGAGCATTCCTCTCTGTTCTGATAAACCACACGGACACCATTCTGCTGCCCACTGCTTGCCCTGTGTTGTCAGCCACAATTCGCCATCCCCACAAGAGCCAAGGGAGAAGAGAGTGGGGCCGAGCGAGCAGGCGGGAAGCTGGGAGTGCTGAGCAAGATGCGCCTGCCCGGAGAGAGTGTGACCGGCTCCTTCCATCCCTACAGCCCCAGCGCCCGGCACACGCCTGGCACACGACTCCTCCAACATCTAATGCTTCCCTTGAAATACCAAAGACAGTGATTTCCTCCAAGGGGAGTATGGACAGAGTGCATGCTCACCAGCGGGGAGCTCAGGGTAGAGGCAAAGGATTCAAAGGTCTTCGAAGGCTGCACTGTCTTTACTTACTTTGGTAAACAGGTTCCTTTCTGCACCCCATGTAAGTGCACCTTCCAATGAACTGTCGTGTAATTATGCAGTCCCTTACTCTGCGATATCAGTTTTGAACATTTCCATCACCCTGAAAGGAGCCCTCGCAACATGCAGGCTCTTTCCCTTGTGACTGAGTAGCACAGCCCAGACAGAGGGCTGGACAGTGCTTCAGGAGGGGTGCTGGTCACAGGCAGGGCCCCATAGCCTGGACCTGTTGCGGACCACTGGACACTGTCATACACTATTTGGGCATAGGACGTTAAGTCATGGCCTAAACTAATTAAAGAAATAGGGGTCAAACCAAAAAGCAGAACTTGTATTTAAAGACATTTGAATTTAATGGTCAAACATGTAAGTACTAGATTATTAGAGGCAGTGTTTCTTCACTGCCTTGAGGTAAAAAAATCCACTGGCCTCACCTAATTCTTGTTCCTCACTACATATACAACACTTTGAGACACTACTTCCTCAGAACTCAGGCTACCCAGTAGAACAGCTAGACCATACACTCAACCTAATATACCTTAGGGAAGATAAGCTAATTTGTCAAAGAATCCCTGAGCAATTGGGCTCTCCTTGAAGCCAGCGAGTTTCGCTCCAGAGTCACTTCATGTGAAAAGTTAGCAGGCCTAACTTGGCAATGCTGAGAGAACCTACCACTCAACAGTCATCATTAAATTCAAACCTGTCTTTCAATAAGAGCTCTGTGCTCTGCTCTGACTCTCATTCTTTTATCAGTTTAAATGGTTCCTTCCCGGTGTACCCTCACATGCTCCCATCCAAGTTCTTGGGGTCCAGTTTGGCTCTCTGGCTGCAGTAACCTGTGCTTGCCATAGGTTAGCTCTGTGCATGGTTCACCTCGTTTTGTGTCCACATTTGGAGAGACCAGTTGAAGATGTGCTTGATTCCTATGAGATGCCATAGAGTTTGCGGATAATGTGGATTTGAGCCCCATGGTTAACAATTTCCAGGGAGGTAGCTCCATTCCCAACACATACACCAACCATCCAGAGCCCCAGCTGCCCCCGGTGGTGGGCAGACTGTTTTCTCCTTTTTCCTTTCAGGGGGCACGGCATAGTCAGGCCCCCACTATATATGGAGAGGACAGTCAGCGAGCCAGAGGCCTCTTGGTGCCCCAACTGGTAAATGGCCTTACAATGGCCTGCTTACTATAGGTTCTTCTTTGTTATTTTGAAGAATTTCCCTTTCTTGAGCATTGAGCAATGCACTTAAAAAAAGGGGTTCTATTAAAAAAAAAAAAAGGCGGGGGTTCGATGATTTATCCAGCACTTCTAATGTTGCACAATGGAAACTGGGCAGTGGGGGCACGCTGTCTTAAACAGAGGTTCCTGAAACCAGTTCAGTGTGGAAGGAAACACTCGCAGGCCAGTCGGCTCTGGACCATCTTAAATAGGTATTAGCTCTGACCTCCCTGTTCCCAGTCCCATTCTGTCATCAGTGACACTGAGCAAGGTGGGGACTGCATGTGGGCCCAAAGGGGAGGGCACAGGAGTGACTAGGCATCTGACTGTGGGCAGTGTCCATGGTCACAAGGTATATGGGGTGTCTACACCAATGGTTTCTGTCAGCACGCGTCTGCTACAGCCACGTATACACATGTATAGAATTATGTACACACACCCAGTTTATCATGGCTAGTACCCTTGTCTCCAGCTCTCTAAATGATTAAAATCGAAGCAAGATCCACACTAAGAGACTATGGAGGTGAAGCAACATTATAAAGAAGTCTCACAGAGGAACCCAGAAAGCGTGGGACTGTGCCGCAGAGATCATACGCTTCCCAAGAGAGCAGAGTGCACAGGCTGAAGAACCTCAGTGCTCCCACACATGGCCTCTCCTGTGTCCTCGTGTATGCCAATGTGAGCTCTCCAGCCGGCTCTGATTTACCCTTACCCCTAGCCCAAACGTGTGTGTCATCTGATGGCAATCCCAAGGAACTTAGTATCATGGCAAACCATCACCTGTGAATTAGACACCCAGAGGAGATAGAGAATGTACTTTAAAACAACCCCCCCATTTCAGTTTTAAGGCAGGATCTAAAAATATACTCACCTCTAGTTTTGTTTCAAGGATAGTCCTTGTCTTCCTCACAAGAGATGTGTCAAAAGATTTGACAGTCACTAATTCGACCACTGCATTTCCACCATAAAGATTGTACATGTCATCTGCAAACTGAAAGGGAGTCATTAACATTATGAGTTCCAAATATACACTTTTGTCTTCATTTGTTTTAACTGACATAATTTGTACATACTTGTCTCTTAGTTACCATGGGGATTTGTTCCAGGACCTACTCCCCAAATACCAAAATCTGTAGGTGCTTGAGCTGCTCTAATAAGAAGGATTTTTGTTTTGGCTGGCTCAGAATGCCTTAGGGGCAGGTCTGGTAAGGCCTGAGGACCTGGGGATCGAACCACAGAATCCTGAGCCTGACTGCTTTGCTTAAGCAGGCACTTAAACACCTCAGCTAATGGGCAGGCCCCCGAGCCGCTCTAATGAAACAGTGCAGTATTTGTGTTGGATCTATGCAGTCCTCCCACATACTCCAAACCATCTCTGCTTTACTTACAGCACCTACTACAATGTCAGTGCTACAGACATACTGTCATTCTGTATTATTAAGGGGACAATGACAAGAAGTCCATACATGTTTAGTAAAGATGCAGGTTTTTCCCAAATATTTTATTCTTCATTGATGACTCCACAGATGTAGAACCCAAGGCTATGGGTATTTATTCTGTACAACATACCGTTTTAAAATATGTACACCTTGTGGGATGGCTCAGTCAAGCTAACTGCCATCTGCACTACCTCTCGCACATCACTTTTTGTGGTGAGTCAAATGCATACTTAAATTATTTGGAAATCTGTGTGCAGGTACAATATGTAGTCACCTACTGGCTCATGATATATACTATGTCCTCGAAGAAGCAAATCTTAAAGGTTTGATTATGTTAAAATGTTTAGAAAAGTGTTAAGCTTTAATACATATTCAAGTATTCAAAATAAAATTACTTAAAGAGACTGAACTTATTGGCACACAAATTGAGGGAAGAGAAACAGGAAAATAAATGACACCCTCCTCAGGGGGAGTGATGGCTCATCACAAACATTTACGGAGATTTCCACACGAGGCCTCCCTGAGTTAGTGGAGTGACTCCAGCATGGAAGACAGCAGCGCTGACTGCCGCTGCTACACATCCGCTACTGTGCTGCTGGGCGACAGCCTCTACGTCATGGTGCTCAGTGGGTGCAGAATTGCAGTTGGGGAAGAGAAAAAAGCTCTACAGGTGGGGTTGGCGAGATGGCTCAGTGGTCTAAAGCACCTACTTAGAACAAGCTTAGCAAAGCACAGGGACCGCGTTTCAATCCCCCAGCACCACATGCCAGCCAGCCCCGCCCCCTGGTGGGCTGAGCTGGCCACATACACACACACACAAATAAATAAATAAAATTAAAAAAAAAAAAAAGCTCTACAGGTGGATGGTACCGGTAGCTACACAACACGGAACATCCCAATACCACTGAACTGTACAGATAAAAACAAATTAAATGCCAGGTGCGGTGACGCATGCCTGTAATCCAGCACTTGAAGGCTGAGGCAGGAGATCACCATAATTTCAAGGCTAGCCTGTGCTACATGCTACATAGCGAGACCCTGTCTCAAAATTTAAAAACTGAAATGGCCAGATATGGTATCTCAAGCCTGAAATGCCAGCACTTGGCACCTAAAGTGTCACCACTGTGTCACCTAAAGTGGTGACACAGGTATTAGTTTCATGGGAGTTTCTGATAAATCTCATTTTGGGGGATAGTTGACAGAACTCCCTAAAGGTTAAATAAAAGGTCCCAACAACAGTGCTTAGTTTTAAAAACTCAGACATAGGGCGGGGCATGAAAAAGCAGATGGTTGGTCCAGTTTGGTAGCAGGAATTCATGAGTCACTGGTGGCTAACCCCATGTGCCCTGCCAGGCCACACCCAAGGCCCCCTGTGCTAAAGTTCAAAATCCTTCAATCAACTTGGGAAGCTGGGCAGGCGGACAAGGTCTGAGGCCAGCCTAGGATACATAGTGTGTTCAAGACCAGCCTGGGCTATATAATTATCAGTCATCTCCTACTGCTGCCCCTACCAGCATTACGGATGGATATTCCAGTATACTCCTGTGACCTGACTCTACCGTTGGCTGTTATAATTAGACTCTCAAAGAAATCAAGTAACACTTCAATTATGATGAGGTGTAGCTCAGTGGTAGAGTGCTTGCCTGGCATACACGAGGCCCTAAGTTCCATTCCCAGCACCACAAACCTCAAAAATAAATTCAGTCAATGGTGTTTCACAAAACAGATTTTTTCCATTAAAAGGGCTAAGCGTAAGTGGAACATTCACACCCAAACCTCCATACCACAGCTGTATTTACCTTTTGCAGGGCATCAACAAGGATCCTAGAAGCATCTCTGAATTGTTCCGAGTCTTCCCCATAACGTTTGCCAATTTCATCTAAACCTGCCAGCTCCAGTGAATATAAATCAGGAGAATGATCCTTGGCTAGATGCTTGTGACGAGACAACTTCAGAAAACACATAAAGGCAGGGGAAAAAGTAAGATATCAAACCCAGCCGGATGAAGTTTTATGCCTAAATAATCTAGGGAAGTGGCGGTGAACCTTTTAGAGCTTTCACTGGTGACAAACAGTCGGCCGTGGCATGTGCCACAGGTTCCCTACTGTTTGGAGTATCCTGGAACCAGGCCAGTGTGTCACAGCACACAGCCTAAAGTGGTGACACAGGTATTAGTTTCATGGGAGTTTCTGATAAATCTCATTTTGGGAGATAGTTGACAGAACTCCCTAAATGTTAAATAAAAGGTCCCAACAACAGTGCTTAGTTTTAAGAACTCAGACATAGGGCGGGGCATGAAAAAGCAGATGGTTGGTCCAGTTTGGTAGCAGGAATTAATGGGTCACTGGTGGCTAACCCCATGTGCCCTGCCAGGCCACACCCAAGGCCCCCTGTGCTAAAGTTCAAAATCCTTCAATCAACATCTGCTGCAAAAGTTTAGGAAAAATAACTTCAGCAAACAGGTAATAGTTTCTATGTCAGCCACAAGGATTATGTTTTTTAAAAGAGCATTCTCCAGAAGACAGTAGTAACAACAAGAAAACAACCCTGAAGTGCTGCTCAGACAGATTTATTCCCTCCACGATTTGGCTGACAGTATTATTAGTTCCAACTGTTATGTCTACTTTCGACCCAAAGCTATAGGTGCAGGAATTAAGTCTTACTGTCTGACAAGAAATCAATGGCCAACTCTGAGCTACAGCCAGGGTGTTTGTACCCCCAGGCCTATGTTCTTGGAGGATATACTGTCTCTCCTAAAGGTAGAGATGCAAAACTATTTGGTGTCAATAAGACACGAGTTCAAAATTCCCAGCACCAGCACTAATTTCTCAACTTCGATGGGATCATGAATCCAGGGCGTGTGGAGCCAGACTTCAGTGGTGTCTTCCAGCAACTGAGACAGAACTGGAAAATGGGAGTAAGCCTACTTACCAAAGTTGAAATGTCATGGAGCACTTGCAGTTCTGAAAGGAAGAGCAGGTCCACCTTCAGAGAGCCAAACAAGTGAGCATTATTTTAATATGCATCAGAGATCTACATATGCCATTTATCAAAGAAAAGAGAGGGTATTAGTATTATGCGTCACAAAAGTGATTTATACAGTTGTCCTCCCTTTGGTAAGTTCACTTTCATTGAAAATGCATGCATAGGGCTGGGGCTGTCGCTCAGTGGATTCCATCCCTAGCACCCCTTCCCCAGAAAGCACATAAAACACTTGCTGACCAAAGGGCGGTGGCCATCCCTGGCACAGTGACTACTTCTCGGGAGCTGTACTTCTGCCAGGGCCATGACACGAAGCACCTGAATTGTGATTTTCTCCCTCGGGTATCCGGCACAGGGCAGTGAGACCTTGCCAAGGGACCAGTTGCTCACTGCCTTTGAACATGTTCTATGTTGGACAATGAAAGATGGTGGCCCCAGTCATCCATGGAGGAGGGGAAATAGCCAAAGTGGCACACCCCGTGGTTTGGGTGCAAGAGCACATGGCAAAAGGGAAGAATCAAGAACAGAGGTGGCTCCCTCCACCAGTATCAAATGAAAGGAAAATGGGGCAGTGTGTCAGCAGTCACGACCGTGAGTTAACAGCCCCGGTGTCACTAGGTTTACACGGTTCCACGAGACCATGCTGCGATGCCTGCCCTACCTGGATTAACAGAGAGCAACCTGTACCAGAATATAATACTACACCACTGCTCGCCTCATGCTGAGGCTAAGTCTATTTGTGAGATTGTTAAGAGAATGACATCAATGGAAAGAAGAATCTACTCCAGCAGGAAATCTGCACCATTTTTTCTCACAATTCAAAATGTCTCAAATTTCAAGTAGCAAGGGAAAGGGAAATTACTGATATTCACAGCCAGAGTGGTGGTGTAGATCTGTAATCACAGTACTCTGGGAAGCTGAAGCAGTCAGACTGCAAATTTGAGTCTATCTTGGGCAATTTAGCAAGGCTCTATCTCAAAAAATAAAAAGGGCTAGGGATGGTGGTGCACGCCTATAATCCCAGCACTCTGGAGGCTGAGGCAGGAGGACTGCAATGAGTTGGAGGGCAGCCTGGGCTATATAGTGAGTTCAAGTCCAGGCTGAACTACACAGCAAGACCCTGTCTCAAAAAAAAAAGAAAGGAAAAGGGAGGACTCTAGGGATGCAGCTCAGTGTGAAGGCCCCAGGTTCAGTCCCCAGTACTGAAAAAAAAATACTCACTTCATTGTTCCTACTCAGGGAGTTGAGGGGAAGTGAATTGAGAATGGAGTTTTCCTGGAACAGGCGATTGCGCAGCTGCCGTAATGTAACTGAAAGGTCTTCGAAAACTGAATTTGCCTTCCCCACCATATACACTCTCTGTAAGAAAAACCCAAAATTGCATGTTCCTCACAGTCTGACCAATTCATTTAACCCATAGAGGCCCAACAGCATTTTTCATTAGTTTTAAATTTTCATTAAATATTGAAAGCTTAATTTAAAAAAAAAATTTAGGTAAGTGGCACCGCCCAGGGCCTGCTGGATCCTCATTCGACCAAGAACCCAGGCCCTGCGTGTAAGTGGAACTTCCTCCATCAGAAAGGCCTGGTGTGGAACTCTGCAGCAGAACTCCCTGCAGAGAGGCTAGGAGCAAGACCCACCCAGCTGATCCAGGAGAGAACATCTTGCCAGAGTGGCACAGAGGGTTCACCTCCAAGGACTGCAGCAGGAAGAAGTGGAGCACAGCAGCCAGACCCAAGCCACACCCACCTGGACGAATTTGAACTTGGTAGATCTGGACCTGGTGCTAAGGTAATAACCATACCAAAGCTATACACCAAAGGTCAGAAGACAATGAAAATGACAACAAGAAGGAGCAAAATGCATTCTCAGGCCCCAAGTCCACCCAGAACAAATGCAGGAGACAACAGCACAGAAGAAATTGGAAATCGCACACCTGAAATCTCTAAAATAATAGCGTCTAAGGTAAAGAAACAACCTCAGAAAGGTATAGAGGAAATCAGATCAGAAATAATTTCTGAAGTAAAAAAAAGAAATGATAATTATAATGAAAGTAGTACGAAGTACTTCTAAAGAAGACACTGATAAAAAAATAGAGGAAAATAGAAAAATGATGGAATCCTTGAATGAGCAATATGGGAAAGAAATAGAATGCGTGAAGCAGATTCAAAGTGATATGCAGGAAATTAAAACCTCAATGACAAGCTGGCAAAACCGTTTGAGGGAAAGTGAAAATAGACTTTCAGATCTTGAAGACACCATTGCAGCTAGAGAAAAGGTAAGAAAAGATCTCTTAAAAACAATTAGAACTTGTAAGCCCACTGGGCAGGTACTGTGTCTGATGTTTTGTGTGGCACCTATCACATTGTTACAGCTCAATAAACATTCAACAAAAACAAAACAAACAAACAAAAAAAAAACCAACAACTAGAACTGGGGCCAGGGAGATGGTTCAGTGGAATAAGCACTTCCCTGGCAAGTGCAAGGGCCTGAAAACTAGGATGCAGGAAAAAATAATTTAACATCTGCAAGACAATGCAAAGATGAACAATGTAAGGCTAATATGCATCAGTGAGAAGGAGTCAATACAAATGATATAAAAAGAATATGGAAGGAAGTAATAGCAGAAAACTTCCCAAATAAGGGGAGACAAACTGATATTCAGGCAACTGAAGCATATAGAACTCCAAATAATATCAACCCAATTAAAACCACACCCAGACATATAATAATCAAGATCCCAGAAATTCAGCACAGGAACAGTATACTAAAAGTCACTAGAGAAAAGAAACACATCACATTTAAATGAAAACCCATCAGAATAATGGCAGATTTCTCTCCACAAACCATCAAGTCAAGAAGAACACGGCAGGACCAAGGAGATAGCTTAGTAGAATAAGCACTTGCCTGGCAAGCGCAGGGTCTTGAGTTCAATCCCTGGTACCGCAAAAAAAAAAAAAAAAAGCACAGAGCTAAGTGCTACAAGTCTTGCAAGAAAACAGATTCCAGGCCAGGGAGATAGCTCAGTTGAATAAGCGCTTGCCAGGCAAGTGCAAGGGCCTGAGTTCAATCCCCAGTTCCGCAATTAATAAATAAAAAAAAAAAAAAAAAAAAAAAAAACAGATTCCAACCCAGACTGCTATACCCTGCAAAACTCTCTTTTGAGCTTAATGGAGAAGTGAAATGCTTCCATGACAAAGAACAACTAAAGAATTTCATGACAACAAAGCCAACCCTACACAGACTACTAAAAGTATTTCTAGAGAGGGATCAAAATGACCACAACTCCATGAATGAGAATGGAAAGAACCCAGCAAATAAGGCAAACAATTAAACACAGGAGAAAACGAGGCATACTACAGCAGTCTTTCAATTATTCTGTATTTAGCAGCAAAATATTTCCATCAGCATACTCTACAAATGGACTTCTCCTGCACGCTCTGTCATGATTCTGTCTGGGTCTATAGGGTGGATATCAAGGAAATAGCAGTAGCTCAGCCCCACAAGTGACATCTGGCCACCAGTGTCATGGACACTGTCCACGTCCATGACATACTAGAACTTTGTGCAATATCCTATCCCCAAACTGTCAGAAGGTCTGGTCATATATTTACCATTCCAGTATTTGTGTTATATTTTATTCTCAGTAATTCCTTACTATCACGAAAACTTTTTCTTAGTTGAAGTGTTCTGAAATATTTAATTTTTAGTTAATATTTAATTAATTTTCTGAATATTATTTAATCTTAACTTTTGTTTTAAGGTTTATAACTATGTTTTTGACTTACAATCTACTTATAAGACATGGCATGATATTTTCTCCTAATATTAGAAACTTTCAAAAGTGTATTTCCATTTTCCTTGACTTTATATTACTTCTTGTCTTTTATGCATACACACACACACACACACATACACACACACACACGAAAAAATGTATATAACCCGACATAAGTTAGTTACTATTTTGTAGAAATATTCAATGACCTTCTAAATGGGTTCATCTAATATATTTTATATAATCTTGCATAACTATCATTTTGAGAGTTCTTTGTTCTTTATCCAGGACCATACAGCAGCTTCTCTTACCTTCTGGATTATGCTCTTTGTTATTTCCTATATGCTACATCTGGAGGTATTAGAATATTTCGAGTTTGTATAACTGGAAAATATCTTTTTAGTTTTCGAAGGTATGTTTGCTAAACATAAAATTCAACGAGGACAGATCTTTTTTTTTTCTTTCAGTCCTTCGAATTAATTAGTCTAGTTTCTTACACTCTTGCTCATTTTTCCTTTTTTGCTCGTTTTTCCTAATGTGGAATAATATGCTATTTAATTGTGTTCTTCCATAGCTAATATTTTTTATGCATATGCTTTTTTTTCTTTACAATTAATTTTGGACAATTTCATTTTTGTGTATCTTGGTATAATTTTATTCAACTTTCTTGTGAAAAAGGTTCATTTTTCTTGGAAATGTGGTACTATAATTTCAACTAAATTCAGAAATTTTAAATCTTTAAATATTTATTGCCTACCCCTTTCTAATTTGAGAATTCTAATTATATGAATATAAGTTCCTTGATTTTGGCATAGAGTGAACTATTATATGACTGATCTGTAAATTCTTTCTTCTTCATTTTTATCTTGGATAATTTTTATTGTTATATTCATTTAAGTTTGTAAATTATTTACAATGTGCAATCTATTATTAACCTCATGCTATGTATTCATTGCAGAAATATTTCTCTAAAAAAAATAAAACTGTTAAGACTTTGGCAACTCTTGAAAATAGCTTTATATTTACCCTAACCACTTTGTATATACATATATATATATTTTTTTCATTACAAAATGGTCCTTTATTTATATCCCCCTTTTTTTGTTTTGTTAGAGATGGGTGTTCCATTGCTGTTAAAGAAGCTGTATTTGGAGAAGTCTTTAAAGGACCTTTTCATACTTGATGCCAGTTCAAATATTGTAGGTACTAAAATTCAGCAAAATAACCCAAAATAGTCCAATAGTCCATAATAGTAGTGGGTTATCAGCAGAACTGACAATTGTCAGAAGTTGTTGAGTTGAACCTTTACAGCTCAGCATATTAATATATCTTTACTTTTTATACCTCGTGGTTACACTTTTCTACTGGATAGTTAAGGCCAAGTTAAAGCAAGACCTATATAACTAAAAATGTAACTTTTGCATCTGACAAAGTCAGTCAGATCCCCTCAGGATTTACCCTGAAGCCATGTACAGCACCTCACAGATCCTCTGTCAGTGTCAGCCATCTGGATGAGTCACGGCCCATGCTTGACCAATTTGCTCTCTGTGCAAGCCTCAGAGAATGTTTTCTCTCCACGTGACTCTCCTTAGCTACACTCTACATCATCGATCACTTTCCTCTGTGGCCCCATAATCTCCTTGATTAGAAAATTTGGGACACCACTGAGTTACAGGATGTTACAGTACAGGTTCTCTTAGGTCCTGAGTCCTCACTGACCCTAAAGGGCTAGGGCCAAAATATTGGCTATCCTTGTAGCTTCTTTATTTCTCTAATTTTTGGTCTGCAAAGAAAGCTTAAATTTTTAAAGCATCTTAATAACTTTTTTTTAAAATCACTTACTTCTTCACTGGGAGCCAACTGTAAAACTACAGGAGTTTCTTCAGAAAATAAGGAGTGAATGGAATTTGCAACGCTGTCGAGACTAAAAGGAACTGCCTGAAATTTAAGAAGAGGACTGCAATTATTTCCTGAACCAAAATGGGAAGAAAGAATAAATGAAACAAAGGCACCAGCATTTTAAATGTAAATTTAGAAGACCAAAATCATTTTCAAACACAGAGCCCCTTTGAGAAGCTGGAAGATTAAACAGCCCCCTAGTGGGCCAAGCCTGTATCTTGCAATGTGCCAAAAGGGGAAATAACTTGCAGACATGAAAGACAGGACACTACTTTGCATAAGCCATTTTCTGGTGGTCATTCTTGTATTTTAAGCAGTAACACATTTGGTTTCAATATTGATTAAACACATCACAAGGAATGTGCATTCCATTATAAAGTTCTGTACAGTAGTTAAGAAAATGTTGGAGGAATCTGAGGTAGTGAATTTAACTGAACAGAGAAATAGGGCTGTTATCATTTCAAAATTTTAAAAAATATTTAGTAAGAGGTAGGGTTTATCTTCAGATAGACCAGACTCTTAGATGAGCTGTAAAGTATACTCCACGAATTGTATATGGTAGGAACACATGGCGATATTAGACTGAAAGACCACCGACTGTGGTGAGGCCTACTTTCTTACTTGCATTTTTATTAAAGCACGACATGCATATTGTGCACAAATCTTCGGGTAATAGCTCAACAAATGTTTCACCAATGCATGCACTCATGGAACCCCAAAAGATGAAGGCATAGAACATCATCCGTACCCTAGAAATACCCCTTCCACCCTCAAGAGGAACCAAAATTCTGGCTCCTCTCTGCTACAAATTTATTTTGCTCCACATTATTTAAAAAATAAGTTACTGTAAGCTTCCCCTCAAAAGTTATTTTATTCCTCATATTACTGTTTTACAACAAGCAGTGCAACAGTTCTGTTTTAATGGAGATTTTTAAAGTGATTTCTTCCCTTTAGCACTTAAAACTGGGTGTTTATATGTAGCAAATTAATACTAATGTGGTACAGGCAGAAATCAATGTGATTATGTAAATCTCACTGATGAAATCCCAGCATCGACATTAAGCTTATTTATTCTATGATTCTGTGAAATGAAATCAGCTTTTTCTTAGTCAAGGTGCATATTAACTCTTCCCCAAATTCTCTTCACAGGAGTTAATGAGTAACTCTGGGGAAGAGTGCTTAAGCTTGTAAAAGCATACTGTCGCCAGCCTCCCTGTCACATGGTGCTTTCTTTGGTCCTCTTCAAGCTTTGGAGGGAATTCAGCAGTGAGGGCCACAATGCCCCAGCGTCATTTCTCCCAAGGAAATGGTGCTTGGGTCAGGCCAGTCGAAGACCAAGGGAAAGCTACAGTCATTCCCATGGAAACCACATCATTAACTACAGAAATGCTTTTGGTGAAAATAGTCTGCCTTCCAGTCGTCATGGTTCCCCTCTTTCCATTTTACTCACATTTACTCTGAAATTCTCCTGATGTCTTCAGGTCATTAATATCCAATCATGGACAACCTAAATTGTCTAACATCCATTTAAGGAGATAAATTTCCCTTTCCTAACCACTGCAGCTGTACCCCAAATTTTTTGTTTGAGACAGGATCTCACTATGTATTCCAGGCTTGCCTCAAACTTGTAGCGATCCTCCTGCCTTAAGTCTCCTGAGTGCTGGGATAATATTTAAATACAAGATACACTTGTTATTCAGTTCTAAATAATTTGGAGTCAGACATGGTGGCTCATGCCTATAATCTCAGCACTCTAAGAAGCTGCAACAGAAGGATCCCAAGTTCAAACCCAGAGATCCTGCCTCAAAATTATTATTTTTTTTTTGTGGGGATTGAACTCAGACCCTTGCACTTGCCAGGGAAATGCTTATTCTACTGAGCCATCTCCCTGGCCCCCAAAAATACATATTTTAAAAGTGGGCTTGGGATATTAAAAAAAATTAAAAAGGAAATTCTCACACTAATTTATTCTTCAAGCCATTATTTAGATGTACTTCTTTTTCTTGTTTACTTCCTAAAATAAATTCTCAATATATATGGCATGCATGCATGCTTATATATATATGGTTTAAAAAGAAAAATAGTTCTTTAAAACTTTTTCATGGGGGGGACCGGGGAGATGGCTCCGTGGAATAAGCACTTCCCTGGCAAGCGCAAGGGCCTAATTTCAATCCCCAGTTCTGAAAAAAAAAAAAAAAAAAAAAAAAACAAAAAACAAAAAACCAAAAAAACTTTTTCCTGAAAAATGTCTGTCTTTCCCTCATTTCCCATTCCTCTGAGGCACTTACTTTGAAATGTATTGTTTCCCTTTGTTGTAACTACTACATCTGAATAACAGGCTTCTCTGACTAATCTTGATTTCTCAGGCTTAGGCACTGGTGTTCGTTAGAGAAAACAAGGACTTAGTTCTTGCCCATCGCCAATCCCAGCCCTGTGCTCTGCGCATGCGTACACTACACTTCCACCCCCAGCCCTCCCAGCAGCTACCTCACAGCTCTCCCTGGTCAGTACCACTTTGCTTTATGATCAGAAATATCAGCTGCAGCCCAGCTTTCTAGGACAGAATTACTGCTTTGCCTTTCTTGATCTGCAGTGGCAACAATGAGAAATCTGCCAGCATTCTCTTCTCATTTCTTGGTAATGACAATGTCTTTTCTCTCTCATAGCTTTTAAGATTTTCCATTTCCCCTTTAGAATTTTCACCTTGACTAACTCTGTATACTGGTATCTGCGATCTGAGCAACGATATTGAGGACACAGCAATGTGGAACACAAAACCCATGGTTGGATGCCTCTCACCTTGGTCCTCTAAATGTGTACCGTTTCTAATGTCTTATCAATTATTATACTCTTTAAAATACATTTTTTAAAAAAGGCAAGGAAAAAAATTAAGATTTCTTGAAAGCAAGTGCCAATATTCAATTAGTTCCCCAATCTTGCATAACTATATCTGTTAGTCTGAGCAACAGATTTAACAATAAAAATAGGTAATATAACCATTGTTAATTAGCTATTCCTGTTTTGAAGATCTGTAACATATGTATTGTTGTATGTCACCCTGCTCCTTTTTTTCTTTTTGTTTTTGCTTGTTTTTACTCTTCAAAATAAAATTTTAAAAAATGTAAAGACAAGAAAATAGAAAAAGTTAAGGTTTCTTGAAAGCAAACACTAATAATCAATTATTTGTCCAATCTTGCATAAAATCTGAGATCTGATGATAAAAATAGATAATATAACAACGATGGTTAATTAGCTATTCTCGTTTTGGAAATCTGTAACATATGCACTGCTATATGTTGTCCTCTTTATTTCTGCTATTTGTTTTTACTCTTCAAAATAAAATAAAATAGATGACAGTCAAAAGATTTTTCATTTCCTTGATGAGTCTTTAATTTCACTCTATCTAAGTATTGACTTGGCTTTAGTATATCTGGGTATTCAATATGCTTTAAATCTCAGGAGTTATTTTGTCTGTTTTTAGCATTTGCATATTCTTTATTTTTAACTGACAGTTAACAGTTATTATACCTATGGGGTATCTAAAATATGTTTATACCATGGAATGATTATATCAAACTCATTAATAAGCCTATAGCCTCACATAATTTTTGTAGTGAAAATATTTTAAATATTTTTATCAATTTAAAAATAAAGTGCATTAGTATTTAGCATAGTCATGTTGCACATCAGATCCCTAAAGCATGATCCAGCAATCTCACTTCTGCATATACATCTAAAGAACTGAAGTTGGCATGCCCAAGAGGTATCCACCCATGTTCACTATAGTGCTGTTTGTGTCAGCTAAGCTTTTTTTTTTTTTAATTTTATTTTTTTTATTTATGTGTGTGTGTGTGTGTGTGTGGCCAGCTCAGCCCACCAGGGGGCGGGGTTGGCTGGCATGTGGTGCTGGGGGATTGAACCGTGGCCTCTGGGCTTTGCTAAGCTTGTTCCAAGCAGGTGCTTTAGACCACTGAGCCATCTCACCAGCCCCCAGCTAAGCTTTGAAAGCAGCCTCGGTGTCCATAGCCAGCAAAATGAGAAAGGAGATGGCCGGAGGGGTGGGGGGCCTGCAAGATAAAGCACTTGCCTAGCATGTAAGAGGCCCTGGGCTTAATCCCCAGCACCCTCAAAAGGACGGGTAGAATCCTGTCATTTGTGACAGACTGGCTGAACTGGGAGAACTTTATGCTCAGTGAAGTAAACCAGGCACAGAAGGATGTGCTGCGGCATGATCTCAGGTCTACGTGGAATCTGAAACAGTTGCGCTCATAGAAGCAGAGGAGGAGAGTGGTTCCTAGAGCTAGGGGGTAGGGTTAGAAGGAAAAGGGGGAGAAATCAATCTGAAGACTTTCGTTGTTATTTTTTGAGACAGGTTCTTGCTAGTTAGTCCAGGCTGACCTCAAACTTATGGCAATTCTTCTGCCTCAGCCTCCCAAATGCTGGGATTACAGGCATGTGCCACTATGCCTTGCTCCATTCAAATACATTTTCAAAGTTATCATTTCTGTGTTTATTTTTAGATTTAACTGCACTGTGGTTGGAAAGGGTAGTTTATATGATAACGATTCTATCGTTTGTTCAGATTTGTATTGTGGGCCAGGGATAGCAGCATAGCACCCCCCTTGGAAGCAGAAGGCCCTGAGTTTGATTTCTGGTACACACACAGAAAAAGCACCTCCTAGATTTGCCTTGTAACCTACCACATGGTCATTCTGCATAAGCATGCAAGGTGTGCTTGGAAACAAATCTATAGCAGATTCTAGGAAGAACTGAAAAAACTTTCCCCAAAAGCAGCATCATATAGGCCACAGTCTTAACGCAATGATGTTAGAAATTAAAAATTCAGAAATTACTAAAAAAGAACTCCTGCATTTGGAAATGATTTCTCTCATGGGTTAAAAAAAACACAATACAGGTTATGAAATATTTACAAATCAACAAAAATACCACAGATCCAACAGTGTCTTATAACTGCCTCAGAGTGGTTATTTTTTCCCTTTAACTCTTTTATAATTTAATATACAGATTTTACAATTTCTTTGAGATTGGTTTGTTATCGGTAGTTCCAGGAGCATGGCACGTTTGTTGTACCCGCTTTGTCAGGGCATCGCTTTCTTCTGCTGCTGCTTTACAAATCCCTTTCAATTTTTCACCAGAAGAGCCCTGGCTATGGAGCCATGCATGCACAGTCCCCGGCCTTCTGCAGGCCACACAACTGCAGTGTCGGCTCCTGCTCACACAGTGGCCCATTTCTAGTTCTGTCTGGCACCTGTGCACACCCATCTTTTGCTTTCCAGTGGAGTTATGCTCACAGAAATGCTTTTATTGCCGGGCATAGTGGTGCACGCCTGTAATCCCAGTACTTGGGCAGCTGAGGGAGGAGGAGCCCTGTGAGTCTGAGGCTAGCCTGGGCTACCCGAACAAGTTCAAGGCCAGGTTGAACTGCACAGTGAGATCTTGACTCAAAGAAAAAAGGTTTTTATGGCATTTTATCCACCACTTCTATAAGCATGCAGTGCCAGTAAGCCCCTCCTATACTACCTAAATGCCTGACAAGGAGCCAGCGGGCCAGCAAATAGCCTCTGGTGTCAGAGGAAAAACGCTGCAGGGAAGGAAACAAGACAATGTACCCAGAAAAATGTAGTAGGATGCATCCTTAGCTGGTTCTTTTTTTTTCCTATAAATTTATTGAGAAACAAATAGCTATGAACTGGTTCTTCTAGTGACTCTGCCCCACACAGAAGAGCCACCAAGTCTTTTGAGGCGGGTAATTTCTCTAGTTTTATCCTAGAACGTATTCTTATCCCTAGAGGGTGGCTAAGCTTGATAAATTTACAACTAATGTGCTTCCAAAAGAAGACATGAGAAGTGCAGTTAAAATGCAATTCATCGTATCAGCTGAAAAGAGAAAATTAAAAGCGCATCCCTTTGGCGTGGGCACATAACTCAGCTAGCATGCATCAGGCCTCAGGTTTGCTCTCCAACACTGACAAAAAAAGTCTATCATTATTTTTTAAAATAAGCAATACTCACATTCTCCAAAGGATATGAAATGACACGGCCTGGAGGTAGAGCCAGTTTGTCAACTCCCTTTACCAACACCATAATGGTAGCCCTGGGACGATGGAATAGGTTACCCACTGCAAGTCCTGGCCAAGAAAGGTCCTAATGGTAAAAGAAAGAAAGATAAGTCCTAATATTGAAAAGCAAAGAATGGCTCTTCATTATCAACTTAGGAAACCATCTCTCCATTAACACCCAATAAGTAATTAAGGGGACTCGGGATGACACTGGCCAGGAAAACTCACAGGGAAAGAAACACTGTACTTAAGGCACTAGCTGTGGTCTCCTCATCAAAGATGCTGACTTCTACCTTCAATTTCTTTTTTCGGTCTTTTTTTTTTTTTGAGACAGAGTCTCACTATGCAGTTCAGGCTGCTGTTGAGCTCACCGTGTAGGCCAGGGTGGTCTCAAGCTTGAAGCAATCCTCCTGCCTCAGCTTCCCGAGTGCTGGGATTACAAGCGTGTGCTACCTCGCCTGGCTTGTTTTCTTAAAATGTTACACATTTGAAATAAAATCTAATAGTAAGACATTTCA